CCCGGGCCGTGCCGCTCCCGCCCCGGGAGGAGCTGAGCCTCGGTCCACGGGGGACGGACACGGGGGCAGGCGGCCTCCAAGCCCAAACAAAGAGGCTTTTCTAGAGCTTGGGCCTCCCCTCTCCCAGTAGCTGCCAGACCTTCACTGCCAGCTGTAAGATCATCTCTATGTTTAATTTCCAACACCCCTCCGTTCCCAATGATCATCGGGAAAATAAACCCTGCTACACAACCGGCACATACGAGTTGGCATAACCGTCCCCCTCCAGTCCGTGCCCCACATCTGACCCTGGGAGCGGCCGTGGAGGCATCGCTTTCACATTACAGAGTTTAAACACAGCAACAGAACAGAGGCGGGCAGCAACAGAACAGAGGCGGGTTTTTGGCGTTGCTGGAAAAGAACACGGCCGACACAAAGAACAAGTACTAGATGGCCAGAGCGCTGAGCCGCGCGGAAGAGGCTGTAGTCTTCACCCGAGGCAGAGGCTCAAAGCGGTAGTGCAGCAGAAAGTCTTAGTATTAAGGAGTAAGTCTTGAAAGGAAAAGACAGAACAAGGGCTGAAAGGGAGAGGTCCTAGGACCTAGGAGAGACTGGGGAGGCGGTGGAAATGCACAAAGAACAAGTACTAGATGGCCAGAGCGCTGAGCCGCGCGGAAGAGGCTGTAGTCTTCACCCGAGGCAGAGGCTCAAAGCGGTAGTGCAGCAGAAAGTCTTAGTATTAAGGAGTAAGTCTTGAAAGGAAAAGACAGAACAAGGGCTGAAAGGGAGAGGTCCTAGGACCTAGGAGAGACTGGGGAGGCGGTGGAAATGCAGCCTTGAATAAAGGTGGCGAGTTGCACAGACACTCTGGGCTCCAGCCGCTAACCCTGCAAGGCATGTATCTCGCCGGTGATTGTAGGTCTAGGGCTGAGATCCTGGTTTTCAGTTCAGCGTGTCCTCCAGCTCCTCCTTCTGCTTTTTCCTCTCCGCAAGCCACCGCTGGATCTTCTCTTTAAGCTCTGTGTTTGGTCTGATCTGGTCCATAGTGAGGGGGCTCCGATTGAAAGGATCAGTCTGATCACTGAAAGACAAACCACCAAGGAGATTATTTGCACAGTCCCGGCGCTAGAAATAAAAAGAGGAAGATAGGCGAGGAAGAACCACTGGGTAAGTGAAACAGACCGTCAAAAAGCATCAAGTTAGGAGGCCTGTCCTGCGTACCTGAGGAGGTGGCGGGCTATAGTCGACCGGTCCACAGTGACACGGGAAGAGGGCAGTATCACAGGGTCCGACATCAGAGTGCTCATGATCGGATCCAGGAATTCGTCACAGGCATCTGCGTACGTCTCCTCCTCCTGCTGCTGGCGGTCTGCAAGAGACTGGCAGGCACGCACAGCTTTTAGAGACTCAGTCTCATAGTTCTTTCAAAACTGGGTTTGCTCCTAACTCATAGCTAAAGCATTTACAGGTCCCTGCTGGCAGAGACTCCCCCCAGCTGCCCCACCTGAGCGTCAGATGAAGCCTTGCCCCCAGAAATCCAGCTCCACAGCAAAGATGCAGTGATACACAGATGGAAAAGGACACCAGGAGCCAGTTCCACCTTTTTGTGCATGCTTAAATTCCCTCCGGTTCTCACCTTGATCCTCTCAGCCAGGTTACCGAAAGACACTATCATGTTGCCTGGCTTGTTGATTTTCTTCAGAACTCGAAGGGTCTGGGCAAAGAGTTAGCGGCCATCCTTGGGCACCGTGGCACAGAAGTTTTCTTCGTCCCTGGACCACAGGTTAAAAGACAGCAGAGGTTTAAGAATCCACATTTATCAGGTTGCAAAATACAGTCCCCACACCAGCCGCATTACCGCAGCTAGAGAGCTAGAGAGAAGCTCGACCATAATTAAGCATTGCTCCCAGGTCCTCTCCAGGGTGACCCATGGTATGAACGTAACCGTGACGGTGCTCAACTTCCATCCCTGCTAGCTGGGTTGCAGCTGACTTGCCCGGCTCATTAAATTAAAATTGCTACAAAAGAGCAGAGCCCGCTTCCGAAAGGCCCACTGAGGACTGTGGAAAGCATGGAGAGCAATTCTGTTAGCACTGTTCCCAGAGGGAAGGCTCCCGCTGCGCAACGCAGGGGGCCACGGGGCTCTGCTAGCCACGATGTCCCTGGGACGGCTCCCCGATGGCTCCTGCCACCCCACACGCCAGCTCTCCCTTACTGCCTACCCAAGGTTCAGGTAGATGGTACAGATGTCAGACACGAGCTGCTGCGGCTTGAAGTCAAACTCGCTGAAATCCTTGACTTTCAAAGCTCCCATTTTAGGCCCAACCAGGTGTTGCAGAAAGTAGTTGAGCATGGAGATGATGCGCTCAGCAAGGAAAGGATGCACGAACAGGGACTTAATTTCTGAAAGAGAAACCAACGGTTCCCTGAGCTCCACAGCGATCCCGTCCCAGTCCGACCACCCTGAAACCAAGCTCCTGCCTGCCTGCTCCCGGGCAGGGCCCCTCTCCAGGTCCCAGCAGGCCGGAGGTGTTGCTCTCCCTACCTGAGGTCAGGAAGGCCAGAGTGCCGATGGTTTCGTTGGACATGATGTTGTGGAAGCGCGCCAGCTGACCAAACATCTGCAGGCTCGACTCCTTCTCGCGGCGAGCCTCCTGGGACAGGCCATCCCATTCTCCACGGTCCTTCTCGATCTGCTGAACTTTAATCTTACTGAGGTACTGCAAAGACAGGGCAGGGAAGTGTCTGGGAGAACAGGCTGGTAAACAGGCAACAACGGCTAAGCCAGACCTGTTCTGCACTGCTCCAGGCTGACAGAGGCCAAGTCGGGACACGAGAGGTACAACAGAGCACTTGAAAAGGCCGCTCAGAACCACACACGTTTCACAAAACACTTGTTTGGAGGGCAAGCCGTAGAAGTCCATAAATGTTCACACCCAGACGGGCATTATCCACCTCACCCGTCTTATCTGCTGGCCTCTGGACAATCAATTCTATGGCAGTAATAGCTCCCCAAAAAAAGCCCTTTCTAGCAGCAACAGGCAGCTCTGAAAGGCATGGAGAGACAGGCATCACGCACCAGGAACATGAGTTCACCTGGCACTCACCTCATAAACCCAAGGGAGAGCTGCCTGGAGACAAAAGGCCTTTGTCAGGATAGCACACCTGCAGAAAGGCCAAGGGGATTGGATAATCAAAACCCCCAGAGGTTGTTTAAAGCCACACCCTGTCCAGATTAGCAATAGGCAGATTTCCTCGCAACTCCCCCCAGCATCCTTCACGCTGGGTCTGAAAAAAGCCCTTTTGCTCCTCTTTGTTCTGACCTGCCTCCCAAGACCAAAGGGAGGGAAGAGAGTGCTCCGTGTGCAGGGCCCCAGACCCCATCATACTTCTGCCTTCACCTGTTCTCTGAGGGCATTGGCCACACCAGCCTGGAATCTTTTCCTGCAACTATCTAACACATAGATTCCTCAGTTCCGCACCCAGTCATCTCCAGGGCAGTGAGAACTGTTGCTTACATGATGCCGACAGCACGTGTGCTCAGTCCTACCTGTATGGCTTCATCCAACAGGAAAATGGCATCGTTCATGAGCAAATTAAGGAAGCGCAAGAAGAGAGGGGGGTTCATTGCCTCCAGGTTCTCTGAGGCATAATCAGCGAGAGCCTGCAAGGAACAAGAGAACTGCGAATGCTGTGGCAGAGTCCCAACGGCAGGAGAGAGCCACAAACTCCATACAAAGCCGCGCACACACACGCACACATATGTGTGCGTCTCTTCCCTCACCTTTATGCTCTGCTGGTACGAATCCGTGCCCCACATGTACCTCAGGATGGGATACATGGGACGGCGGTAGTTAAACTTCTGTTCAAACTGGTGTGGGTCACCTAGACACAAGCAAAACCAAGAGCATTTCAGGTGGGCAGTGGGCACAGGCAGGGGCTGCTAATTCCTTTTCACAGTCTGTTTGAAATAAAAACCCAGCTCCCATACAGGTCAGTGAAATCCATCACCGATTTCAAAGCAGGACAACCGATTCCACATTAGAAGAGGATGGGTAAGGACCCACTATAAGCACTGCCGAGCTGAAAAGCCTGAGCTCTGGAGGTTATCCTTTCTAGATACACAGTTCTGCACACGCCAGAAGTTTGGAAAGACCAACGCTTTGCTGGAATACCATCTGCCTAACACAGCTGAGCAGCCTAATGAAGCACAAATAGATTTGTTTGCTTTCACCAACGTACTTCAAACCCTGGAGACATTCCCGCTGTAGATGTTACCGCAGGAAGACAAATCTTCCCCTCTCATGCTTACCAGTAAACTCGATATCCACAAAGACTTTGATAAGTGCCTCGGCAAGATGGGCAGCGTTTTGGTAAGAGCAGAACACTCGCTTGCGATGAAACACGCTTGAGACGAGCGGGTTCTGGGCCTGATCTAAGTGAGGCATCACAGCTTCTAACACTTCTGCCAGCTTGGCCCGCAGATGAGGATTTTTCATCCTGCAAGAGAAAACAACAAAGCAAATCCAGGGCGGCACAAGGGCCAGGGTGCGGGACCAAGCTGTTCAGGAAACGCTCCAGGAGCTGTGCCAACCTGTGCCGGAGCACCCGCTTGTTGCGGACCATCTGTAAAGCTAACGCTGGCATCCAGCGGCTCACTCTAAATAGCAGAGCCACGGGGCGAAGGCTCGCGCCTCATACCCGCAGTTAAATCTCAGGGACAGGCGAGAGGGTGTGGGAACAGCAGCAAAGCTGTTGCTTCCCTCCCTCCCCAGCAGCGCATGCTGCTCGCAGCCTGCGCTTGCTTGTCAGCTGTAGCTCCCAAGTGAACCTGACTTGCCGTCCCAGCTGTTTGCTTTCTGCCCAGCCACTTGCTTCCTATTTATTCTGCAAACCCACAGCGCTTTGCCGGCTGAGCCTGCTGCCCAGTACAAATCACTGAGGTGAGGGTGTAACTCTCCTCTGCTGCACACAGGGGCAGAAGCCAAACCACCTGCCCAAGGTCATGCCGCAGGGTACTGCCAGGAAGGACGACAGCCTCCATCTCTTAGGGCCAGCCCGGGGCCAGCCGGAACAGCGAGAGCTGCCTACTGTGTGAAATCTCCATCTGGTCCTCCTGCCTCTGCGAGTTCGGTGTATTTACACATGCAAGTATAAACAAACGAACAGCAGAAATGTGCGGCGATGTCTTATCAGGAAGATCAATAAAACTACTCAATTTTTTTTCAGCGCTCTGTTACCACAGTAGGCTTCATAGAGATACTCCAAACAGATCAATCCCAATAGCTTCCTTTAACAAGTACCGAAGTGGCTCTAGCTGACGGTGCTCCTGTGTAACACGACCAAACAAGTATCGAGACACCGAATCCCGTCGGTACCTCGCAGGAAGCCCGTGTCCTTCAGGCAGGGCTTTGCCCACGGTGCCTCCTGCGGGCAGAATTTAGCTTTTCCAAAGAGATCAACCCACTCACAGGTGTACAAACCAAGTCTCAGGACATCTCCGACAATTTCCACTTGCTTGCTCCCCTCTGGCTGCTCTGAAGGTAAGCACCCAGGGCTCACACCCAGGGGCTGTACATACCTTTCCACATCACCCATGAAAACAGTAACAAAGTGAAGGACATGCTCCAGAGAATCGGCAGAAGTCTCCAAGATGTCATCAGCGAAACGTCGCAGGAAAATGAAGAAGTCGCCCAAATTATCGGCAAAGAATTCTGCAAACAGAGATTGTACATGAGTTCCTCCTCAGGCAGCTCATTTTGCCCTTTTCTAGCCTCCCACCTACTCTCCCTTCACTGCCCTGATCCCGATGAAAGTTTTGGGAACTAACTAGCCGTATCAGAACGCTGCAGTCATAAAGGATGCCTGGCCTGATGAAATTTGCAATGCACCGGATTCACTTCACCTCTCGCAGAGGTCAGGTCACTTGAAACCCAGCAGCTGTCTGCCGATCATACGCACTGTTACACAAAAAAAATCCCCCAAGGGAAGAGAATCTCCAGACAACAGAAACCACAAGGAGGATTTTGCGCAGAGAGAGAACAGAAAATCAGTATGGTATTTGGCAAATCTTTGCAATATGGCCATGAGTAGCATCTTTAAAAAGGTCAGCAGCATCAATACTCTAAGTACGCTCCCTCACAAAGAGCCTCAAATTTTAAAAGCGATCCTCTTCAAACAGAATATTCTGCGTAAAGGGTGCCATCAGCCATAGCGCTGTGTCCTGCCCTGGACAGAACAATGCTTCCTTGGACAGCTCTCCCAGTACATGTAACTACTCCAAATGCAGTATTAGGCGAGTAGCTCTAGACTCGGATGGTTAACTGCGGCAGGCACACAGGCAGACTGCCAGCAGGACAAGCGGCTTCACCTGGCACGTAGGCCAACGCGCTGTTTTCCACCTCCGGCAGTGGGAAGGTCAGCTCTAGCGGCTCTGTCCCGTGGTTTCCCAGGGCCAGCTGCACCAACAGAACTGCCATGGACACCTGCAGATTCAGGCAGTTCTGCAGCATCTGCGGTTCCGTCATCGCCGTCTTGGTGGAGAGATAGATGGTCATCAGCCGCTCAAACTGCTCCCTGAGGCTGTCGGCAGCAGGGCTGGAGCTCTGCTGAGCTTCTCGCCACGCAACTTGCAGGCGGTGAAGGCTTTGGTTTATCTTTACCATCTGGTCGTGCAACCTACCCGGAAAACAAAGGCAAGGAGGACATGAGACGAGACAGACGGACCGCCTAAGCAGCACGTAAGCTAGCGCATGCTTTTATCCTGCTTGCGAGAGACTGTTCTACTCAGTCGAGTTCAAACCATTTCCTGCAGAGAAGCTGGCTGGGGCGCTAGCAATCAGAAGCCTTTAGAGAAAGGCAAGACAAGACAAGACTTGCGAGGATACCAGACCCTGCTGAGGAACCGCAGCGGCCCGCAGAGCAGCCCGGAAAATTGACAACTGCTGCGAAGCCCTCTGCAGGGGCGCGGACAGTGAGATGGCGCAGCTACAAACCCCCTTAGGTTACCAAGGTCAGGGATCCAGCAAGGCCCAGAAGACGCCCGCCAGGTGACACATTCAGTTTCCCAGCAACCAGCTGCTTGCATTACTTTTTCATCCATTTCTATATTTAGAGACTAAACCAGAAGGGGACGGTGCTTGGATCAGTGGTAACCTCACAGTATCCAGGCAACGATTTACAGAGGGAAGCTAAGAAAAATAGTGTGTTCTGGTGTCCAGAAAATCCTTTCCTGGAAACAGACAGCTACCTTGCGTGACTGCTTCACGTACAACCCGTTTACCAGGGCAGTTTGGGAGGGCTCACAGCAGGCAGGTGCTCTGCTGCCAAGATGCTTTCTAGTAGAGAAGTGAGATGCCAGCGGCCCATTCCCTCGAGGCGAGGGGGGAATGGAGCGACCCACGAACACCCAGCACTTGGCCGTTGAGTTTCTGTAAATAACGTGGAGCCTGTAAGACCCATTAGCGTTGACTGTGAGCACCGCTGAACAAAATTTCTTTCCGGAATCAGTCAGCCTGAGGCTCAAACGTCAGTGAAAATGCAGAGTGAAAGGTACTCGGCAGATCAGCTGGCCCACTCTGTATTCTGAGTATTTAGCCGAAAAATTACGTGGCCATACATGGGTAGAAAACAGGACTGTAGGCAATCTGAGAGAAGTTACCTGTGAAATCCCAAGTGGAGGGTGTACTGCGTGAGGATCAGGTTTTCCGTCACCAGATTGTAGCTGTTTGCAAACTCTGGCTCTTGCTCGCTCAGAGCAGGTATCAAGCACGTTTCTTTTTCCAAACCTGGAACGAAAAGCATCTCTGCGTCCAAGTCCTACCCAGCAGCGTCGGTGAGGAGAGGGGTCAAGGGGGCCTCTGCTGAAGACACAGCTCTCCCCTTGCTCCTCTCTAGTCACGCCTTAAACTCTCCCTTTACTGGCACACATTGAGAGGGCACTACTGGGAGAGGTGAGGACCTGAAAAGATCGCCTTTCTCATTCCCTTGCTCCCCCGAGGTTTGGGCGTACCTTTCATATGTACATTCTTACTCCTCCTCTCCTCTTCGTTCAGCTCCTTTAGGGCGCAGTACGTAGGGTTGAAGGTTAGCAGCCTTGGAGATTTTGGTTTGCAGAAGGGCTGGCACAGCTTCAGGAGGGCAGCTCCCAAGTTGAGGAAGAAGGCATCTGAGGCATACATCTGGAAGAAGATCTCCGGCATCTGGTTAGCCCAGATTTTGGTGCGGCCCGCGTTCGCATGGAGGCAATTTCCCAGCCAGGAGAGAATCCTGTGCTTCGTCTCTGGAGACAACTGCAACAGGTTCTTCAGCATCTGGTAGATCTTCTCGTGGAACTGGGCCATAAACTGTTACGGGGAACAGAATGCGGTTGAGGGGGTCATTCGTTGGCAGGATCGCTCTTTTGCCTCTCCCGTTATTAACACGCTCAGAGCTCTCCCAGCTCCAGACCACATCCTGCTCTTCAAGGGCAGGGCTTTCAAAGTAAAGCACAGCCAGGATGCCTCTATCGATCACCCGTCAGACACACGCGTTACGAGCGAGTCAAATCCTGAGACTGGCAGCAAAGAATAATTAGGGACATCCTCAAAAGCGTAGTCAAGCGCAAGTTGTTTCCATGGGGAATAAAACCAAAACTCTTTATACTTTTTTGGCAGCAACGATGACCCTGAAAGAATGCATGACTGGGAAAGCCCCTCTCTGCGACCACTCCTGCACCCAAGCTTACTCCTGTATTTATAACCTGCGTTCTGATGCTTTGCTCCTTACCTACTGAAGTGTTCCTAGCACTGTTCCTCTGAGGAGCTATTTATTTTCATAATGAGAGAGAACATTGCCCTTCACTTTCTCTGCTTGAGACTCAATTAGCGTTTTAATTACAGGACAGGTACTGAAAACTATGTCCCAGTGATTACAACACCTAAGGTAGATTATCTTCATGTAGCACCTCAAGTTATGGTCCTGGTATCTGTTCCATAAGTACCACCCTACCCTTTTCCCAAAGCTCAACTGCTTTGATAAAACACAACTTGCTCACCATGAAGACCTGGGTTACAACAACCCAAGAAAGCGGGCCAAACCGTTTGCACGTTACAGCTGTGAAACCCAGTTTTGCGACTTGCTCAGTCACAAGTCAGACTATCAAAGAGCCAGCAGTGGAACTCAGCCCTGACATCGCGTCTTTAACCCTCAGGCAACGAGAAGCCACTAAAACACGCGGGGAAGCGGTGCGGTCAGGCTTCAGCCCACCTGATGGATGTTGGATTCCTGCACTTTAATTTCTTGTGGGCTGGATCGGGATGGATTCAGAAAATAGCCGTGGTTCTCCACTACGCCAGGGGTCTTTAACAAGCAGGAGATGTTTAAAATGGCACCTAGCAAAGTCTTCTGGTACATCTGTCCATTGCTGGGATCCTTGGGCTGGATGTAGCCTGCAAAAACCTAGAGAAGGCAGCAGGACATGCTGACAGTTGTATAAAATCCCAGTAAAAAAACCCCTATAAACTGATGGGTTCGGGACAGGCTACCAGAAAGGAGGAGAGAGATAAGAGCACACACACGAGGTGGTGTTACACCATCTTGCGGGTTTGTCCTCTACAGGTTAGGTCTTATAAACGCACCCCTGTGAGTAGAACCTATGAGGAGCTCTCGATCAGACTGAGGCACCCACCTTGGCTATGTCCTTCTGCTTCGTGAAGTAGAGGAGCACATCAAGGTACGTGTACAGCAGGATCTGGCAGAGGTCCAGGTCCTTGATTCTGCCCAACAATATGTCAAACACAGGAACCATGACCTCCCCGAACGTCCGCACCTCCTCATCCATCGTTAAGGCTTCTATGACCTCCTCGAGAAATTCAGTCATGTCTTCAAACTCTAGCAGGGGAAGGAAGGCCGTTACTCGCAATACTCCAACGGCCAAACCTCGGCGCACGTATACGCGCCGTGACCTAAACGCGGCCCTCCCTTTTAGCAACAAGGGGAGTCAAAGCTTCACCCGACTCCACGACATTTTTCCCGCAAGCTTAACAAGAAGGGCAGCCTCGTACCAGTAAGCTAGCGGCGCAACCCAGACGGACTTACGTGCCCCTCTCAGCGCCTCCAGCATCAGGTCCACCAGCTGCTCGTACACGTTCTGGTTGACGTAAATCTCTGGGGTGAGGAGGACAGTGCGAGTGTTTGACACAGTCAGGTTCCGGCAGCGCACAGCAAAGGGCAGCAGGTTCTCTGGGACCTTGGTTATCTGCGCAACGAGAATGAGACAGAGTTGGGGCCCCAGCGTCTGCTTCTAGCCTTTAAAACCTCAGCTCAGTCACCCTGGACCAGAAAGCTGGGTGACAAAGCTGCCTTCTTCCTCAGAAGCCCCTGCCCACCTCTTCTCTTGCCCTCTGGAAACAGGCGTAGAGGTAGCGCAGAATCTGTCTCTCCCCCGCGTCCCGGTCGGCAGAGAGGTTCTGCGTGCTGGCGGAGGTCATGTAGATCAGGTGGTTTCCAGGCTCCTGCAGCAGCAGGCGGGTGAAAAGGGCCTAGGAACCAGCAAAGACAAGGTGGAAAGTAAAACCACCCTGGCAGAGAGACAATCCCTCCAGGAAAAAAAGTCCCATATCACCACAGGCTAAGTCATTTCTGCCCAGAAGAGCTATCTCTATCTCTCATTAAGTAACAGCGCACGAGTCTGAGAACCCTCAGGCTTGCCTCTTAGCTAAATAATTTCTCCACTCCCTTTTAAAAGCAACAGCAGCCCTAACAGAAGTTATTTTCGCCAAAAAAAACCCACCAAGAGTAACTGACCCATCTGTAAACGAAGCTGAGTATGGGCACGAAAGCCGATCACAAAGTTTTGCTTGGTGGCACAAGAGACAGCACGCTGCCTCGCTGCCAGCGGCATTTGCCTCCCACAACCGCACCTAAGTCTTCCCTCACGCCCCATCCAGGCCAAATTAGTTCCCCTCCCCATCCCCAGCCAACCTGCACGGCAGCAAACTCCTGCAGCCTCCAGGAGGAGAAGGGGCTCGAACTGGCAAATTTCAAATCTTTCTCAGCCTTGTACCCCAAAAACCCCAGAGGTGTTTCCAGCAAAGCTGCAACTGGCAGCTCCACACTAGGCTTTGGCAAACAGACTGTGCTCAGGATGCATCACGCATGTGTTGTGAGGAAATAAATTCAATTCCTGTTGTCAAAATAAACAGAATGCCTGAGGCAGGCAGCCCTACCTGCTCGACATTGTCCATGTCCAGCCAGTCCTGGTCATCCAGGTCCGCGGCCATTTCTTCCAGATAGACGCAGCGTGCTGGGATCCCGTTTCCACTCTTCATGCTGGGGTCGCCTGAGAAAGATGCAGAGCGACCCAATTCACCCAAAGTGGCAGAGAATGTGCTGGCAGGCAGTGGAATCTGCAGGCAGGGCCCTGCCTGTGACTGCACTGAAGTGCATTCCCTTTCCCAGCTCTCCCCTCCAATTTCGGATGCACCTGGCACACTCTGCCCAGTGCAATGTACTTTGACCAG